AGTGTTAAATTTAGTAAATTATTTAAATATTGAAGCAAATTTGATTAATTTTTAGTTTTGACCTCCATTTTGGTTCCGACATTTTGAATTTTGAAAAACTAACATCAGATTCGTAATCAGCCACCCCGAAAACTCCCGAGTAGCAAGTTTCAAGTGAATTTGATTGATGTTTAGAATTTTCGTCCTCCATTTTGGTTCCGCCATTTTGAATTTTGAGAAACTAACATCAGATTCGTAATGAGCGACCCAGATAACCCCCGAGTAACAAGTTTTAAGTTAATTTGAATGATTTTTAATATTTCCGTCCGCCATTTTGGATCCGCCATTTTGAATTTTGGAAAATTACCATGAAATTCGTACTTAGTGACCCCAAAAACCCCTGAGTAACAAATGTGAGCTACTGTCTATTGATTTCCGTTTTTCTTAACCGCCATATGGGATTCGCCATTTTGAATTTTAAAATAGAAATCAACGACCTTGAAAACTCCTCCAAAAACTAGTTTTAATCAAAATTTAAAGCCAGATTCGTAATCAGCATCCCTAAAAACCTCCCAGTAACTAGTTTCCAGCGGTAATTTCAAAGTGAAACTGATATTGATTAAAACTAGTTATTTGGCAAGGTGTTCAAGGTCGCCGATTCTTATTTCAAAATTCAAAATGGCGGATCCAATATGGCAGTTGAGAAAATCAAAAATCAATCGAAATTACTTGGAATTTGTTACTCGGGGATTTTTGAGGTCGCTGATTACGAATTCGGTGTCAGTTTTTCAAAATTCAAAATGGCGGATCCAATATGGCGTCTGAGAAAATTGGAAAACCAATCAAATTTACTTGAAACTTGTTACTCGGGGGTTTTTGGGGTCGCTGATTATGAATTTGGCATCGGCTTTTTAAAATTTTAAATACCAGTTTTAATATGGCAAAATAATATTTAAAAAATGTTCTATTTCTCTTGAAATTTTTCTATTCATTGTGTTTCCAGTATCGCGGAATACAATACAAATATATATTTATTTGATTTCAAAGCAAGTAGTCCATTGGAAAATCTTATTTTTCCCCTCTTTTGAATAATATCCGTATCCCATTTACCTTCATACACTTTATTCGGCGGGTTTTCTTTTTTTTTTTTTTTTTATTCTTAGTTTGCCGAGAATGCTCGATTTCGAAAAGGTTTTTCTACTTTGCAAATCCTATGCGTTCATATGATGGTGGTGGGTACATGGAGCGATTTGCTATAATCTTCTCTTGGCGCACATGTGAAGTCAAAGTAAACGTTTGAGAGGCTTTCCTTAAAAGTTTTCTTATCCGTTGGTAAGCGGTTTCCCTTTATGATGAAACAATATCGTACTACTTTGCCTCGCTTCCTCTCCCCCTCAACCCCTCTTCCTTCGCTCCACTTTCAGTGCTTCACTCCCTTCGTCTCTCAACTGCTTCTGGTCTTTGTCGCCTGCGCGCCCCATCTGCATTCCTTGTCCCAACGAGCCGCAAAGGAATTCCAATTTTAAACAAAAGTTTCTTGACGCTGCTAACCTTCAGTTTCCGCCTTTTTCCATCCCTCTCGTATACACGTACCTAAAAAAAAAAAAATACTTTGCCCTCTGATCGTTTTCTTCTGCATTGTCAAAAAAAATGGTCCAACCTCGCGAATTCTGTCCATGCGTTCATGCATATATGGTCGATTTTTCTCCACATTCATCGTGACTAGATTATAGGAAATTTTTTCCAAAATTTTTTTTAAAAATCCTCATTTTCTGTCAGAACATTAGAATTAAATTCGGACTGAAAAAAAATTATTTTATAATGATAAAAGAAAGACGTTACTTTATAAAAAGTACATTTACACAATGATAAAAAACAAATGCTAAAGAGGAGATTTCCTCTCTTATTTTCTAAAAAAGAACAGAATTTTTAAATCGTATCCAATTTGCTCGGGATTTAGAAAAGAAAGTCATTTAATGTATATTTTGGCAGCAGACAATTGTTTGACCTTGGACGAGACAACACACAGCACTCTCTGTGTGTTTCATGAGAGAGAGAGAGAAAAAAAAACAAATAAAAATGAGAAAAGAATTGTTGGAACACACACACAAAAAAAAATGAGAGGAAAAAAAAAAGAAAAATGATAATAGAGCTCCGGCACCGGTGGAAACGCGAATATAAGGACTACGATAAACAAACGTTAATCCGCAAATCCTCTGGCAAACGGCGAAAAGCACGCTCTACATAGACGACGAGTTGGAACTCGAGACGAACCGGGACGGGTTGCGTCTGTTGCAATATCGATAAAACATTGATCCCCCATTCGTGCCTGAAGTCTACTATCTAGGATTCGAGTATATATATACATATATAGCGTTAGGAGACGAATCGTCGTGAAGCCTCGAGTATATAGTGAACGGAGCTTATATCATGTACGACCAATACTCGCGGTCGATATGCAACGAGAGAGGGGATTAATTTTATTTCCCGAGCTTTCTTTATTTTTTTTGTTTTGTTTTCTTTTTATAAATCGAGAAAAATCGAAATTTGCCTGTCTATTCTGCACTTTCAAATGTACTTACTATGCAACGATTGTTTTGAGAGAGAGAGAGAGAGAGAGAAAGCTCAACGTATTGAGCATAAATTATAATTTTCTTTTTCCATTTACATTAAATGGGTTATTTTTTGATCAATTCTAAAAAATTCTACGAATATATTGAATCTTCCATTTTGAATTTTGAAAAACTAACATCGGATTCGTAATCTGTGACCCCAAAAACCCCCGAATAACAAGTTTTAAATAAATTTGATTAATTTTAATTTTTTCAGACGCCATATTGGTTCCGCCATTTTGAATTTTGAAAAACTAATATCATATTCATAATCAGCGACTCCGAAAACCCCCGAGTAAAAAGTTTCAAGTGATTTCAAATTATTTTTTAAATTTTTGCCCGCCATTTTAGTTCCGCCATTTTGAATTTTGAAAAACTAACATCGGATTCGTAATCTGTGACCCCAAAAACCCCCGAATAACAAGTTTTAAATAAATTTGATTAATTTTAATTTTTTCAGACGCCATATTGGATTCGCCATTTTGAATTTTTAAAAACTGATATCAGATTCATAATCAGCGACCCCGAAAACCCCCGAGTAAAAAGTTTCAAGTGATTTCAAATTATTTTTTAAATTTTTGCCCGCCATTTTTGTTCCGCCATTTTGAATTTTGAAAAACTAACATCGGATTTGTAATCTGGGACCCCAAAAACCCTCGACTAACAAGTTTTAAATAAATTTGATTAATTTTAATTTTTTTCAGACGCCATATTGAATTCGCCATTTTGAATTTTGAAAAACTGATATCAGATTTGTAATCAGCGATCCCAAAAACCCCCAAGTGACAATTTTCAAGCAAATTTGATTGATTTTTAATTTTTTTAGATACCATATTGGATTCGCCATTTTTAATTTTGAAAATCTGATGCCAGATTAGTAATCAGCGACCTTGAAAACCCCCGAGTAACTAGTTTTAAATCGTAGCTTGATATTGTTGCTCTTCTACGTTGATACGATTTGAAATTAGCTACTATAGAGGTTTTCGAGGTCACAGATTACAAATCTAAGAACAGATTCAAAATGGCGAATCCAATATGGCGTCTGAACAAATTTAAAATCAATCTAATTCATTTGAAACTTGTGACTCAGGGGTTTTTTAAAGTCGCTGATTACGAATCCGATGTCAGTTTTTCAAAATTCAAAATGGCGGATCCAATATGGCGTCTGAAAAAAATTTAAAATCAATCAAATTTACCAGAAACATGTTACTCATGGGTTTTCGTAATGGCTAATTACGAATCCGATGTCATTTTTTCGAAATTCAAAATGGCGGATCTAATATGGCGCTAGGGAAAATTAAAAATTAATCAAATTCACTTGAAACTTGTTACTCGGGGGTTATCGGGGTCGCGGATTACGAATCCGATGTCAGTTTTTCAAAATTCAAAATGGCGGATCCAATATGGCGTCTGAAAAAATTTAAAATCAATCAAATTTACCAGAAACATGTTACTCATGGGTTTTCGGGATGGCTAATTACAAATCCGATGTCATTTTTTCGAAATTCAAAATGGCGGATCTAATATCGCGTCCGAAATATTAAAAATCAGTCTAATCATCAGATTTTCAAAATATAAATTGATGGTTCCAACTTAGAGAATTTTTTAAAAATTCAATCTCTTTTTTTTTAACTCCAAGAGTATTTAATATTTAACAATTATCAAGTATAACTAATAATATTTTGTTACATTGACAATAATATACGGAAGGAATCTCATCGTATATCTGAGCTGCGGTTCGCTGAGTAATTCCCATTTGCTTGATCTTCGATGCCGCATCAGAGGTGGGTTATATAGGGAGGTACAGAATTCAGAGTCTGTTGATTATCCGGTCTGTAAACACGATGCATTGTTATCGATTGGACCAACAGAATCATACCCTCCCGCCCCCCCCCCCTTCCTCACCCTTGAACCTCTACCCGCCAATACTGAATCCGTACACTATACCTCCTCCTTTCCCAAATCCCTCCTGCCTCCCTCCCCCCGGCCCTCCTCCTTCTCACCACTACCGATATTGACGCAATACTGCCTCGCAGTTGCATAATGAATGGTTGGCTAATGACCCTACGGAGGTTGCGGAAACCGCAGCGCGCGAATGTCGGCGTGAGAGGAGACTCAAGGGGGGCCAGAAGAGGCAAGGGGTTGTATGTAGGCAGTTCGAAGGGAGTTCCCAACCCCCTACAGGCTGAAGTACTTCCGGCATCAAACATGCACCAGGGTATCCACCATCCGCCAGCCAAATGCGGATACTTAAATGTTTCATTATGCTGTCATATATATATATATACATCTTTCCATTTCCCATTTCATCGTGTATTAAAATATACATTTGTTTTATAATATCAAAAACTGATTTTGTTTTTACATCTTTAAATATTCTCAACCTTTTTTCTGTTTTAATTGTTTCAGTGTTGCCGCGGACTTTGTGGATATTGATCAGCAACTTCTGACAACTGCTCTGACTCGTCACTGTAAGTAGAAATAATTTTTTTTTAATTTAATGTCTAGGTGTCAAAATAACTAAGTTTATTTATACTAAAAAGAAGAAAATTTCGTTCTTTGTGTATTTATATGGAAAAAAAAGAAGTTTTTAAGAAGGTTTTGTGATACCATTATTGCTCTATATATATATATATGGTGGCTTTTGTTAATGTTTCGCGTAGTATGGCTCAGAGAGAGAATTTGCAAACTGCAACTTTAAAGACTTTTCTGAACGCGGGCGCAAAAAGTTATTACAAAATAACAAAAGAAAAAGTTTCAAACAGTAATAATGAATTTAAAGCAGCTTTGTATGAAGTTTTGAAATCGGGAGGTTTTTATTTTGTCAACCGACACGCTTGTGCTGTTGTTGCATTGACCAGTCACGAAAGGTAACAAACGTCGGAACTTACAATTTACTTCAACTCCCTCAACCAACATCGTAAGAGGCTTTTATAAGCTGAAATGCATTTGTGGGCTACTTAAAATAACGTTATTTGATGTTTACTATTATTATTATTATTTTCCTTGCTTACATTTATAAAAACATACTTTTTTGTAAGGAAGCAAAATACTAATTACAGTAATTAATTTTAATTAAATTAATGCGGATTTATTCTAATAGAATTAAAAAAAAAAATTCTCTTTGGTAGTATTATTTTTGTGATTAAATAATCATAAAATAATTTTTAATTAATTTGATTAGCTCAGAAGTTCACCCATGAATATTTTAACACTATATAAAAATAAAAGTAGAATATTTTTCTTTGTTGAATTAATTTTTATGATTCAGTAATCATAAAATAATGTTTAATTAATTAGATTAGCTCAGACGTTCACCCATAAAAATTTTAACACTATAAGTGGCAAAACGAGAATGGTTAGATGAAGCCACAAAATCAGCTGATATCGCAGCGCCTCTAGCGGACGCTTGTTTAATTGAAAACTCTACTGTCGATAACTGATTTTTCAATATTATCGACGGTCGTTTCGAATTTGTACTTTAAATAATAATTACTATTTTTTAATATTAGAAAACATTATTCAAAAATTAAATTTTTTATTTTCCCTAAAATATGATTAATATTGTCGAGAGACGAAAATTTAATATTAAAAAACTGAAATAAATTTTACTTATAGTTAAAATTTTCTGAATGTTCTGAATAAATAGAATTTACAATTTACAAAAGTTATAAGCCAATTTAAAAGCTTTATTTTCATAAATGTAAATAAATTTTTCAATTTCACTTCATAAATTTTTTAAAGCTAAAAGAAATATTTTCGCAACATATTTGTATGACAATTTTCAATTAAAATGAAAGTGGTATAATAAAATGAGAATAATAATAATTAGAATGACTATTAATTTTGAAAATTTTGAGAGTCATGAATAAGTTGTTGAGTTATTGTTTGAATTTGAAATTACGCTCATCTATTTTTGAGAAAAAAGCAAAAAATATAGAGAGCCCTTCGCTTAAAATGATTTTCAAATTATTCCCGCAACGATTGCGCTCCGGTCAAACGGAATATTCGTTAAAGCATTTATCGGCGTCATGCATTAGCGCTACACTTTTGAAAGTGAATTATCATATTAACGAGTGTCGGCATCAGTGACGAGGCACTGACGGCCGTTGAGAATCGGGTTTACGACACGTAATTGCAAAAATTCAATTATAATTTACGCACCGAATACATTAAATTACCCAATTTTACTAGTAAAATTACTATCACAACGTTTCGACCGCTGATGATAATAATAATAATAATCATAATTTATGTGTGTATTTTATTTCACCGATGAAATATGAAGAGATAAATACGTATCAACGAAAATCAGTTCCATGACACAATTCATCAAAACATAATTATATATATTCTCTCACTGACTATTTATACATATAAACTAGAAGGATTTAACTTTCGTGTCCGAACACTCAATTTAATTATGATTTAATTGTTGTATATAATATTTTTTTTCCATATTAATAATAAATTCCGTTACTAATATTATTGAACATAGAACATTGAAAGAGGGAGCAAAAAAAAAATTATATTCTGCCGTTTTTGATTATATTTATCTATCAACTTAAATTTTTTTATTTTCATCAAATATTTTTAGCTCAGACGTTCATCTATGAAAATTTTAACACTATATAAGCAGCAAAACTTTGACTTTTAATCTAGATTATTTTTATGATTATACACATAAAATAGTTTTCAAATTAGCTCAGACGTTCACCTATAAAAATTTTTAACACTATAAGCAGCAAACCTTGACATTTACCCTTGATTCTTTTTTTTTATTAGATAATCGTAAAATAATTTTCAATTAATTAAATTAGCTCAGACTTTCACCCATGAAAACTTTGATATTTAACCTTGATTATTTTTATGATTAATCATAAAATAGTTTTCAATTAATTACAGAGATTAGCTCAGACGTTCACACATGAAAATTTTAACACTACAAACGGCACACCTTAGGATTTAAACTTTATTTTTATGATCAAATAATAGTAAAATAGATTAGCTCAGACGTTCACCAATAAAAATTTTTTGAACACTAAAAGAAAATTTACAAAACTTACCTTGATTTTGAACACTATGTTTGCCACATCAATTTATGACCTTGAAATTTAACATTGAAGAATTACGTTCACGTTCCTAACAATAATTTTGATAATTCTTCCCCTTTAGATTTAAAAATAAAAATTTTGAATTAATGTTCATTTAATTTTCCTACACCACAAGTGGCATCAATAAATTCCAACATTAATTCAACTCTGATACAATAAATGGAAGATCTTGCAAATAACAATAATAATAATAATGTTCAATCAAATCTTGAGGAATGGATCCTGAAATGGATCACAAACAGATTCCTGGAAGATTGTTGTCGGTAATCAAGAACATATATATGTTGAGAGATAGTATCGTTAAACCTGCGGTCTCTCACAGAGTGAATTTGACATTATTCTCAAATGAAGCCTATACCTTGAAGCCAGAAGGGTTTAACGTTGCACAGTTAAGACCTTCCCCCTCCACCTCATTCGAATTGTATGTATATATACATGAACGAACGCGAATTGTGTTTGTGTGTGTGTAAACCATCTCTTTCCAAGAGCGCAGCCACTGACGCGATGAGTCTCTTGGATTTACCGACCATTTGCCAAATGAAGATGAAACTGCCTTGCAGATTAGTGAGAGCCGCGTCGCACACACGATAGAGAGATACTACTCTATAGACAGTAGAATTCTGGTGAAACGCATATACTTGTCAACGTTAGGGTTTGCGCGCTTAATATATTCCCGTATGTTGCTGTCGCCATAGGATTGTATCTCATTAACCCGCAGCCATCTCTCTCTCTCTCTATCTTCCTCTTCACCTCTACATATTCTATATATATATATATATATATATACTGGCAAATATAATATGCTCTATGACGGCATTGGATTAATTCCGTTTATTATCAAAGCTAATTGACGGAACATCAAAGGTATTAATAATTTGTGGATCATCGAGCCAAATTGAATGAAGGCAAAAAAAAGAGTGTTGCTAATAATAAGGATCAACCATATTGTACCCTTTTTTTGTGTGCCAAATCACCTCACGCTTTTGTCGTCTGCTACTGATAAATAATGTTAGCGCCACCACTTATGCAATAAACTAACAAAAAAAGTGCGCGAGAATTTGATTTTTTTCTCATAATGAATAAAATCCACTGAATGGGAATTTAAAACAAATTTTTCCATTAAAAATCAAAGAATCAAAAAAAAAGAGAAAGGGAGTGGTTTCCAACAAGAGACAAGATATAAGAAGAGAAGTAGAATTTTAAATGTAAGAAAAGTTTTTTCGATTTTTATTAATTCTCCCGTGGCGTTATAAATGCTAATTTGTTCAATCAGACAGAAACCAGCCAGATGTCTTGGTGTCTCATTTTCTTTTAACGAATATAGAAGCGTAGTTTTCTCGAGTCCTTCTTTCTTTTTCCGAACAAAAGAGTATAATATAATATACCTAAAGTCAAAGAAAAAAGTGTATTTTAACGATCGTAAAGGGGCGGTTTGTTATCGAGGCTAATGTTTTGACCCTCCTGAACGCTTGTGTCTTTTGACGGGTTGCACTCGGTGAACTAGCGCAATGAATATGCAAGAGTCTTTTCACAAAGCATATCCTGACTAAAAGAAGAGAGAGAGAGAGAGCATGGCACGATATCTATGTTTCATGCATTCAGATGTCCTTCTTATGTGCCAAGCGAGACTTGCTCCAAGTGGAACTTGAACGATATCGTGTCGCGTTACCTTCATTAGATGCCGTTTATAAAACCCGATTCAAATTTCTCCAGGAATCCCTGCCACGACGACGACGATGATGATGATGATGACAACGTGCCGTGCAAGTCCCACTCAATTGACGATTTTCGCTATACAAAAGTGTAAGCCCGTAGAAAATTGTCCAACGAAATGATCTCACTGTAAGTTGAATTGTCTTTAATTTCCAGAAAATTGAGAAATTTTCCAAGATTGAGAGTTTAAACTTAATATTCAAATGGTCCACCCTCTTTTTTGATGATTTAATTTCTTAAATTCACGTTTTACTTTTAAAAGAATGAGTATAAAAATTGAAGTCTAAATGAAAACGTATAGTGAGTACTAGGTGGGCGGAACCTTCTAAAAAGTACATGTAACTCTTATAAAATAAAATCCGCCCACCGCCTACCAAGTGGGTGGATACTTTTAGTGAGTAAACGCCCACAGAAATTAAGACCCGCCTACTTAGTGGGCGGATATCTTTAGTAAATAAACGCCCACAGAAATTAAGATCCGCCTACTTAGTGGGCGGATGCCTTTAGAAAACGCCTACAGAAATTAAGATCCGCCTACATAGTGGGCGGATACCTTTCGTAAACGCCCATAAAAATTAGGATCCACCTACTTAATGGGCGAAAACCTTTAGTATCTAAACGCTCATATAAATTAAGATCCGCCT